TATGTTGAATGTTTGTCTGTGATTTGTGCATATCGAGATCCTCGCGGGTTCCAACAGTCAGGTCATCAGAAACTGGTGCGAACCTCTTAGTTCCTTCAAAACCACCTCACAGGCAGCACCAAATGATGGGTCGGTGACTTTGAATGGTGATAGAATCGGCAAATGAAAGCTCCCATCGGTCTTGAGCCACTGACACCTGAAAAATATCAACGCCAAGGGTGTTCCTCGCGAATAGAATCTGATGCTTAAGTTAGCACAAGAAAGAAGGTAAAACCCTATAATCAAGAGCTATAATGCAAGTAAAATGTGTAGAATGTGGGAGAATCAGTAGGGTTGTATCTCAATCCCCTTTTATATGAGAAATACCTATCCTAACTTGTCTACCTGAACAACCCCAACTGCCTTCGGTCAGCCTGCTCGAGCTGCCCGAGACTTGATCCTATCTCTATCTTAGTCACGTATGAGTCATCCTAAGATTCTTTCTTATCGATTTTTTATCCTAAAATCATGCTTCTCTATAGATCTTGTGTGAGTTAAGATACTGAAACCTCCTTACACTTAGTGAGACCTCATTATCGTGATCTCCTTTACTGAGACCTCCGCACAATGATCTTTTTTACCGAGATCTCTTTACTGCGATTCTCACCGAGAGCGCCTTACTGCATTCTCTTCACTGAGACCTCATTGGCTTAGTCACTGAGACCTTCCTACCGCGATCTCCTTTACCAAGACCTCCTCACAGCGATCTCCTTTACTGGTACCTCCTTACTCCGATCTCCTTTGCCCAGACCTCCTCACAACGATCTCCTTTACCGAGACTTCCTTACTCCGATCTCTTTATCGAGACCTCCTTGTTGCAATCTCCCTAGTCGCAGTTGCGACAACGGGGTGATGGAAAAAATCTCGTTGCGACTATAAGAGGAGACAGCCACGAGCCCTTAAAAAAGATAAAGAAAAAAACAACTATGGTTGTGAGTAGCCTGGTAGTGGGGCTCGTCAAAATTACATCCTCTAATTTCTGTCGTGGGCTGGATTTCGGCCAGGGCTGAAGCGAATATGGGTCAGTGGGGGAGAGAACTCCTCAACAGGCGTAGGGATGGTCATTGTCGGAAACCTCGAAGCGGCGGCTTGGGGAAGAAGAATCATAGTCTGCCAGTCGATCCGATGACACAAGAAGGCGTGGGAAGCACTAACGTTCGGTGCACGTCTCTGCCAATTTTCTAGTGCCATCGGTTTCTCGTTAATAAAAAATAGAAGTTATTTGATATATCCCTATCAAATTGGCACCATTTGTGCAAAATTCATTTCTACCGTGGTTGAAGCGAATGCATCTTTCTTCAATTTATACAATGTTTTTATCAATATCAAT